CTGCCGACATACACCTTCAGCAGAAATGACATGTCTGATGTAACTCACTTCATGTCTGAACAATTTACATTGGCAGGGTTTAACTTTAAAATGGCTTTCTTACATGTCCTTTAAAAGTTTTCCTACCTCTTCCTGTTGAGCAATCAGTAGTCATCTTAGATGTTGCTTGATATGGGGGATCATCCACCATCTTTATGTAACAGGGAATCAATCAGTCATCGAAAAGTGCTTGGGCAAGCCCTCTTCACATGGTCCATAAAGCTAATGGTTGTCTGGCAGCCATACGGTGACTACCACTGCTTGAATGATGTGACTATTCCTGACCTGTATCCTGTACTGCATATTCAGGACTGTACAAAGACTTTCTGGGGGTAAAATACTTTTTCAACACTTGAACTGGCTATGGCGTACCATTAAATCCTGTTATCCTAGAGGACGTACCTAAAACAGCTGTGAATACCTCATTTGGATAATGCATGTTCCTTAAAACTTTGCATGATTTGCAAAACACAAGCCAAACACTATAAAGATTTATTCATTATTACTTTCTGGCTTAGACTTTTGTGTTCTTCGCTTTGATGATCTGCCTGTGGCTTCAGCAAATGAAGATCAGCACGTTAGCCACACACACACATTGATTTTTGACAGATTCAAAAAATATGGGTTAAAACTGAATCCTTCTAAATGTATTCTGAGAAAGTCATCAGTATCATTTCTTAGCTGTTTATTTACCCCTTCAGTTGTACGGCATCTTCCTGAAAAAACTGCAATAATTTCTAACTTCTCTAAATTTGATAATCATACCTGAAATAAAGAGGTTTTTGGTAGTAATGAGATTTTATCGATTTTTACCAATTCTGCTACCACCCAAACTCCACATCACAGTTTAAAAAGATTTTAAGAATAACAAACATCCTGTTCCTTGGACAGTGAAAATAACTGCAGCCAACAATAAATGTAAAACCTAATAAAGTCAGTGACAGTTACCATGGCCCTGGTCAACAGTTGTCGCTGATGGTCGATACCTCAGAACTGGCTACTGGAGTTGTTTTGCACTTACAATGCAATATAGGCCTTCAACCACTGGCTTTTATCTCCTGAAAATTGACTCCAGCTGAAAGTAAATACAGCATATACAATAGAAAATTACTCACTATCTATTGTACTGTAAAGTATTTTCATAATCCTGAGGAACAAGTTTTTACAATTTATACAGATCATTGCCCTTGTAATACTTTTGTTTAAAAAAAATTAGATTCTCCATATTTCAGGCAGATTAGGCACATAAATTATATTGTTCAATTCAGTACCGACATACAATATGTTCTTCGACTAGAAAATATTATGACAGATACAGTGTCATGAATTACTCCTATTAATAAGCTGGATGTATCAAGTTTTGCAGAGACTGCTGAATTTCAACATAATGATCCCGAATTGAATCATCTGCTGTCCACTGAAGGTAGCTCATTAAAATTACAAAAGATAAAACAGTCTTCTGGGCTAAATATACATATAGTAAAGTAAGTGGCACCAAGATACATCCCTTTATTCCCACCCAACTAAGGAGAGTAGTATTTCATTCTTTCCATGGACTTTCTCATTCAGATATATGACTGACTAAAAAACTGATTCTTTCTTGTTTTTTTTTTTTGACCTTCTGTGTCAAAAGATTATGTTGCCTGGACTCGTGCTTGCATCAACTACCAGATGTCCAAAGTTATATGTCATACTCATAATCCATTGCAGTCTTTTGTTGTACATAGTCAACATTTTGAGTATGTGCATTTAAATATAGTTAGGCCCCCTACCGCCCTCGTAAGGATACCCCTACCATTTAACTCTCATCAGCCGATTCTCCGATGGCCAGAAGCAATACTAATGAAAGGTATTTCGGCAGAAACTGTCACTCAAATGTTTTTCAGCCATTGGATTGCTAGGTTTAGAGTTCCATCACCATATGCATCGATCAGACTCAACAATTTGACTTGGCGTATGTTCATTGGTATTCATCCAACTCGGACTACCCACACAACCCTGTACCGAATGGATTTCACCCCTCACTAAAATAGTCATTGACTTGCCAGTGGATGGTTAATCTCCAATTGTACTTCTCAGTCTTCGATCAATGTACAAGGAAGATTTGGGTGGAATTTGAAAATGGTCTACGGAACTACTTTTCACCTTCCGGCAGAGCTTTTGCAATCCACCCAAGTTTCTAATGCTGTTGACCTGATTTCATTCGCACAGAAATTGTGTGAGGCAGAGAAAGAGATGTCTCCAGTACCCACAATTAGCTCATGTAAACAGTAAGTATTTTGTGCACCAAGCTTTACAGTCATGCACTCGCATGTTTGCGAGGCACAATACATTGAAACCAACATTGACTCACCCATAAAATGGCCCTTTTACATCCCTCATTAAAGGAAATGAATCAATAACTGGCACTGATTGCCTGAAACCAGCATATTTAGTTTCAGACACTCTAGTATCAGTTTATGTTCCTGAGCAGACCCTTACAGTAAATACATTGGGCACCACAGCTGAAATACCCATAAAAGCCAACTAAACACAACCAGCATATACTAACTATTCGGGCAGAAGGGTCAAGTTTAACCCTTCTTGGTATCTCTAAATTTTTGTGCCTTTGGCACGTGAAGGGGGAAGAACTACGACGGAAATCCTCATTGCAGTGAGTGGCAATATTCATCTTTGCTCCGCAATATTCATATGTGCTCATAATAGCATGAGGATAAAAACTTGAACTTTTTCACCAAGACTTATTACTTACGTCACACTTTTTAATTGCCTGTTCATGGCCAATGTTTGATATTGGCTCACGTGTTAATGTTTAAATATTCAGCCCCTTGCGAGATGCTCTTTCCTTTTTTAAATGTTAAATAAAGTTGGTTTTAACTGTTAGCTAAGTTTGTGAATTTTAGGCTTTTTAATGGCCTTCTGATGGAAGTCTAATGGTGATAAAACATTGCCATAGATACATTTCAAGCTTCAGAGATATATGTATACTTTTATAATGTACTGATTTCTAATAAAAATTATAATTTCTAATTAAGTACCGGGTGGCCATAATTAAACTGACAGTGCTCACAGTGTTCTGTAGCGCGATCTATTTGCGAGAATGACGCCACATTTTGTAGGAAGATTAAACAAGACGGGGGACGAAGGATTCCGCAAAAAAAAAAAATTAGTTCCAAAAGTCACCGCTAGGGGAATATTTGGCGCTGTGTAATAGAAAATAGAGTGTTAACAAATGCAAATCAATACGGAAATTACCTTTTATTTTGCATTCAAATGAGGTTCAATGTGGCTGCCGTTGTTGTGGACCACATATTGCATTCTGTGCACAGTATGCACAACAGCAGAAAGTAACATGTCTGCAGGAATCTCCCGTACAGTCCGTGATATGTTATCCTTAAACGTAGCCAGGTCCTGGACCACTCCTTGATAGACCTTGGACTTAAGGTAACCCCATAGCCAGAAGTCGCATGGGGTAAGATCAGGCGACCGAGGTGGCCATGCAGTTGGAAAGTAGCGGCTAATGACTCTTTCTGTTGTGAATTTCTGTCGTAGCATCTGTTGCACCCGTACAGCAACGTGTGGAGGGGCTCCATCTTGCATGAAAATGATTTCCCCCAGGCATTGTCTTTGCTGAAGTGCCGGAATGACAAAGCTGTTCAACATGTGGCGATATTTCTCTCCGGTAACAGAACAGGTTTCCGGTCCTGTCGGGGTAATGTTCTCATAGAAGAATGGACCTACGATAAATTCCGCTGTGAACCCACACCAAACAGTTACCTTTGGGTGAATGTAAGGGAATTGCTGTGACTGCATGTGGTGATTTGTCATCCCAAATTCGGCAGTTCTGGGTATTCACAGTTCCATTCAGGTAAAAGTGGGCCTCGTCTCCCCATAAGATTTTCCACGGCCAAGCATCATCCACCTCCATTCTGGCAAGAAAGGTGAGAGCAAAAGTCAATCGCTTATCATGGTCGGGGTACAGTAACTCCTGTACACGGCTGATCTTGTACGGATAGAAGTTGATAATCTTTCGTAAGATTTTCCATACCGTACTGTAAGGCATATCCATATTCCGAGCTACTCCACGAGCGCTAGAGGTGGCAGCAATATTGTCTGGTCCTCTGTCGACAATCGCCGTGGCAACTGCTTCGATTGTATCCTGTGGTACAGGTTTTCGTCCTCTGCCTGACTGAACCTTCAGAGAACCTGTTTTCTCAAACGTCGCAACCATTGCTTTTAGCCCATTAACTGACACAGGACCATTATTTTACCTTTTTTTTTTTTTGTGCGTTCTAAAAGCACGAAGAGCGGCTGACGCGTTGCACTGGTTGCACTGGTGAGGTAACAGAATTTAAAGAATTTGACCAGTAACGCACGCTCGACTAAAGAAGGAGACATTGCACATAAACTTTCAATCCGATTGATTCGAAACGTAACACACTGCCTTTTAAAAAACAAGCAGCTGGCACTGTGCGAATGGATGTAATGTGAAATTTCAATAAAGAACTTCCTCTTCTGCTCAGCGTACGTGATATTGCAGATCACGAGACTTTAGCGGTGTTTATGTAGATTTTTATGCTTTTTTAAAAGTGTTGCCATATTGCACTTGAACTAAATCAGAAAATGTGCATAATAAAAGGTAATTTTATTCCGTATTAATTTGCATTTGTTAACACTCTATTTTCTATTACACAGCGCCAAATATTCCCCTAGCGGTGACTTTTGGAACTAATTTTTTTTTCGCGGAATCCTTCGTCCCCCGTCTTGTTTAATCTTCCTACAAAATGTGATGTCATTCTCGCAAATAGATAGTGCTACAGAACACTGTGAGCACTGTCAGTTTAATTATGGCCACCCGTTATTTCAAAATATATTATCAAGAAAGAAAGATTTCCACTGACCTAAGCATTTTGAAATATAATTAATACACAAATCAGAAAAATAAAACAGCTCATATTTACTTTCTGTTCCCATTCCTAAGTTTATCAGCAAATCTTTATTAATAGGATTTAGCGCTCTGGTACATAACTGGTAAACACTTTCTTTAGTATCATCACCACTTAAAGATGTCAAATCAAGACAAGTGACTGCTCTTAATAGTGAAACTATCTATAATATTAAACAACAAGTTAAAAAATAAAAACATATGCAAGCAGGTAAACTATTATGTTACTTATTAATGTCAAAAATAACACAAAAAATAACATTAAACTTATTAAAAAAATCATGCTAAATTTTGGAATTGGATCTTTTCCTAACATTGCATTTACTCCTGTATTTCTCTCTTGGGCAGATTCTCTTCTACCTTTTCTAACACATCACTTAAAAAATTGTACATTTATTTGCACAACACCCCACTTTCCCAAGATTTTTAGAATTTCTCTTATTAGTATTTTTTACACAGGCTGTAACAAATAGCATGTGTTCGGAATTAGAGAGTTTCCTAGTCTCATGGGGAAAATCCCCAGACCTTCCAGCTGGCTGGAGGCTCAGCAAGTGAAAGTACTTTCAAGAGGCCTTTTTTTTATCACTCCTTCTGCTGGGTGTATCCATTTCCTATTTTGCAACACAAGAAGAACGAAGAGTTGTCTGAAAAGGCGTGTCTTGTAACAGGTAAGCCTTGTGTAAAAATATTGCTGTAATGTTCTCTTTGAATACCAATTCAAACCTTATTATAACCCAGAATTCACTTGTTTAAAATAAATCTAATAAGACAATCTGTGTTAATGGCTTCCATCCCAGAAGTCTGGCAACATTGCCATGTTACGATAAAAATCCACAGAAACAATCTTAGTTTGTTCAGCAATTGAGAACGCTTGTGTTTTACTCTGCAGAGAATTCTTGCATCAATATATATGGGTACTGAAGTGGACAATGAGCATCCAAAAATCATCAGCATCTTTAAGTTTTGTGGCAAGGTCCAAAGATTATTAGCATCTTGTGAGACCATAGCGGCTTTGTAAATACCTTCGTGCGGGAAAGCACAAAAATTTTGGAACTTACACATTAACACATCTACCTTGGTGCAATTTGGCAATTTTTTACAAATAAGAAGGTAAACACTACTTATCGGTGCAAGCTGGTGGTTTAACAAACTTTTTTTTTTTTTTAGAAAGATTTCAAAACTATTGATACTTATCGTACGTCTGTAAAAGTTATCAACATATAAAAAGAAAATATACTTTAGCAATTTAAAATACAAATTTAAATTATTAACTAAGGAGTATGTAATACAATAAAAAATAAAATACATTCTTCTTCAGAGTTTTCTGCCATTTTTTTTTTCCCTCTATTTTTCTCACAAAGTACACAGCAAGCTGTTTTCACTTAAAAAAAAATCACAGAATTGAGGACATTTGGCTTTGTGCAATTTTCGGCAACAGCAGCTATAAAAAAAGTACATTTCCTCGTTGTTCCTTTCCAAAAATTCTAAGCAAAATTCTATATTCTTGAAAAATTTTTATCACAGTTTCTTCCATTGCTGGCAAATTCCACAAGCTTATATTTTGAAACTTAAGGCAAAGTTTAAGGCAAAAAATATCATGCTTTGTTAATAAAAACTGTTGGAAATTGGAATACAACAGAAAAGAATGCATATGAAAATTGCAGGTTGCTTGACTTAGAGATTTATAGTTGTCGGAAGAATGGTTATGCGCATGGTTGCCAAAGTTTTGCACATTCTGAAAATTTGGCGACTTTCACTAAGGTGGTTGTGTTAATACGTAGTACCAAAATTTCATATGTTTAAGAAGTGGATTGTAAGGCTCCAAAAATCAACATCGTCTTTAAGTTCATGAGACCATCAGCGTCCAATAAGGGATGAATTGTGAAGTGTAAAGTGTTTTGTGCTGATAAGTGCTATCTATACAAATCCACATACAAATCATACAAATCTTACGTCATCCATAACATCTTCATATTTCAAGCATCAACCAATGTGTCAAGTCAACAAATTCAGGTGGGTGAGTACCTTGGATTTCTATATTGAGGTAGTGAATTAATTCATTTTAAGTTACTTTTTAAATTTAATTCATATGAGTTCAAGTAACTGTTTTCAATCCACATTATTGCTTACTCTAAACATTAAGAAAATGTGTTGCATTTGATTTTGTGTTTTTAATAAGAAATCACACATTTTAGCAATTTGAGTTCATGTGAACAGACCTCTTAGTATCTGAAGTGTTTATGCTAGTCTGCTATGATTAACTTCATACAGTTGAATGCATAAAAAAAGAAAGAAATACTATAATTCTGGACGTTCTAAATTTTAGCTGGTATTTTGACATATCATTTCTAAGCCATTTTTTGAATGTTTTAAATATAAGAATTTTCTGTTGTGGAGTTTAAGCCATTATTTTGAAATTATAAGAATTGATCATTTTTCAATTGAATGTTTTTACAGGAAAAAAACAAATTCTTAGTATCTTATGTCTGAACTGGTATTAAGCCGATATTTGTTATGAAGATTTACTTTTAAATTTGTTTTTGAATGCATATATTAATACAGACAGAACATTTTGATGGTCTGAATGTAAAGTGATGATTTTAATGGTTTGAATCCTCAAGTCAACCAACAATAACGGAATGCATAATATGCATATTATAATGAAAATTATCTTGAATTTGTGTTTCAGATCAATTGAATTTGTTGCAAAAATTTAAGGGTTAAATTTTGCTCCTAATAGCTGAAATTGCTATTGTTTGAAAAATAGGAGTCGTTAGATCTGGATTACATTGTTTGGCTATACCATGTCATTCTTAGCAAAAGCTAGAAAAGAGGATCTTAAAGCCTTGGCTAAAACGTTGGGGAAGGAAGTCTGACCTGAGCTTAGGATAATGGATCTAAGACAAAGGATCACGAGTAACAAAGCCTACGAAGAGGAACTTGTGAAAAGTCTCTTGGAAAACATCACTTCAATGAGGCTTGAGATGAAAAAAAAGAAGAAAGAATGGGATAGAATGAAAAGAGAAGAAGAAGAAAGGAAAGATAAACTTCGGAGAGCAGAAAAAGAGAGGCAAGATAGATTTAGCAGAGAAAAAGAAGAGAGGCAGGATATAATTATAAGAGAAGAATTATAAATAACCAATTTGAAACTGCAGGCCACAGTCATTCGAAACAATCTGGACATCAGACGCTATTTACTCAGGAACTAGGCTGCTGAAAAATTAGCAAAAAATCGAAATGAAGGATTCCTTTATCAAGAACGATGTACCGGGCTTTCCATCAAAGAAATCGCAAAACTGTCAAAACCGAAATTTCAAATGCACAAAAATACAATGAATAGAGTGAGAATGACAGGTGTATAGCCACAGAGGAAATTTCACCCTGTGCTAATAAGGCAATTACACATTCATGACAAACTCTGCTCCCAAAAGCAAAGCAAGTTTTTTTAATGAAAAACTGAGGGGCGCAGCATTGATCTAGCCCAAGGCAGAGGTAAATAAACTACTTACGAGATACTACTTTACTTGACATATTTTAAATTTCTTACTTACAAAGAGAAAGTAATGATTTGAAAATCACTCATTTACCTATTTGTTTGAACAAAATCATTCTTTAGAAAGCAATTATCTAATACGAAATAGATTTCTATTTAGAGGCCAGGAAGACCTGAGAAATGATCGGAAACTATTGGTTGTCCCTGAAGCTGTTCAGGAAATGAAGAGCCTGGAAAATTCTTAAGTAGATTATCCAAAACAATATGTATTGAAAATTTACCACAGAAGAAAGGAACATCGACAATTGGGCACCTTATTATGTTAAAGCCTTATAAGGAGAATTATGTTTACTTCAAAAATTATGTTAACAAAATTGTTTATTTCTGAAACCAATCTGATTTTTGAAGACATTAACTGCAGTAATTCAGGATCAAGTTTCAGGTCTCTACAAAGAGATTTCGGTAAAAATATATTTCAGGGTGCCCCTCAGCGAAAATTGGTAATTTTTTGGTGCCATTCCTGTTTACATCCAATGCCCTCCCCAGTAAAATGACGTCCAAAACATAATGTAATAAAACATAATTAAAACAAAACGTAAAAGTTTACAACTGGGTCAACCTTGTTTTTTTGGCAATTCTTTTTTGACGTCAAGTTCGGCACCAGCAAGGCACAATTTCAAGATGGCCACTACACAAAACCAAAATAACAAGTGAAAGAATTGTACAAACTCAGTGCCCATGTACACATCAATCTATTTTCAAACAAAAAAATAAATAAATAAAAGAATTGCATAAACTTGGCACTGCGCACTGCCTTCACTTTGTCCATGTACACATAGATCTAATTTCACTTAAAATCGAAGGGGCACACAATTCTACACTATACACAAACAAAAAAAATATAATCTCAATAAACTGCATTTTAAATCAAACAATGAAATAACATAAAAAAGGAAATACATATTATCTCATATACGCACTACAGAAAGGAAATATCGACTTACTTTATTTAGAAATTTCTGTATCTTCAATCTGTGGCACACAAAATCCCTTAGCAGCATCCAAAAACTTTCTGACCCAGAATACGCATACTGCCGTCGCCACATAAATTCACAAAAATAAAAGTAAAAAATATACTCCATAGTGCTGGATTGTCGGTGGTATTTCTTCCAAAAATCCCTTTTTATTACACTCCACAAAGCTTAGATAGTGTTGATATGAGCTCCAGTTTCTGGATCCTTAAAAATGTCACTTCGTGATTCACCGAGAAGTGAATTAAGCCATTATCAAAAAGACATTTGTACGACTTCCAGCAGTTGGATATGATCGTTGCTCCGGGTAAAATATTTCACTGAATTACATCCAACAGTTTCTTTTCTTCTGTCCTCAATCACTAAAAAAAAACCCACCTTCCATCATCTTGGGTCTATATCACCAACAGCCATTTTACAATGTAAAGGACGAAATAAATAACGTACTTCTTAAGCGACATCGAATCCAGAAATAAAATACAAAATATTTTCCAATCAGGCAAATTCACCGCAATCACGTACCCAATCCCGTCATAATAGGGTTTCTATAACATTCAACTACTCAGGTTACTATAAATGAAACAACAATTTGGCGATAAATGAAACAACAAATTACCGATAATCCAAGGGCACCCTAAAA